GGAAATAAAGTGCCAGAAAGACCTGGGCACTGAATTGTACGTAACTTTGAGTAAGTCAGATTGGGTGACCCCTTTGGAGTTTGGTCTGTTTTACACAAGTAAAGCATTTAGAATGATGGGAACTAATTTGACAGAAAAATACCTTCTGCCGTTAGCTCTGTGTGGCACATAGGTATCCATGTACTGTAAAGGACGAAGTATGTTAAACAAATAATGCAGTGATGGTGATGCTGATCTGACCATTGACCTTATTGCGCACACTCCGTCTTTAGATCTAAACATGCAGTTGTTCTTTGTAAGGACAAATTCATAACTAAAGCATAAAAGGTTTTGAGCATCTAAATGTCCAGTTTTTATTTCTTAGATGCCAGTGACAGTTTTTATTGACAGTAAATTCTTGAATTAAGTTGCTGATTTACTGGACTATGCCTTTATCCAGTGTGAGTAGCTGCTGCTTTATGCTGGAGCATTCTGCTGGGTGTATAATTCTAACCTGATAAAAAAACAAGGTGCCAACTATCTTAGTAAAGTGCACTTTTGTACTTGTACTTGCACTTGCAAAAACCAAGTATATTGTGTAGCTTCTCTTTAATGCTATGCTTGGCAAAGTGAATTCTGTTCACCGACAACATTATAATTAAATGGTCTGACACCTGTAAGCACTGGCACCTTACAATTGGAAGATGGATGGTTTAGAAACCGGTTTAGCATGATTCACTTCAAAAAAACAAGCCATAATTTAGCATTTGGCGTGTGTACTGCTTGAAATTCTGTACAGATGCTAAACTCTGTATTCTACTATTCTATTCTACTCCCATTTTTCTCTGATTTCACCACATCATTTTTATAGTTCCATCTTTTCAAATACTTAAATTCTTTAAATGTTGACCTCTACCTCAGTTTTAAAGGCATTCCATGCTCTAACAATCTTTGGTGGAAAATTCTCATCTTGTCTTTTGCTACATCTAAACTTGACAATTCCAATGCACTCCTGGCTGATCATCCACCTTCTGCCCTCTGAATTTTGGCTTATCCAGAATTTTCTGCTCATTGTGTCATGACTTGCACCAAGCCTGGTTTATCCATTTTCCACTGCTTATTAACCTATGCTAGCTCCCAATTCAACAACTCAAATTCTCGTCCTTATTTTCAATACTGCCCATGGCCTTATCCTTCTTTCTAATCATCTCCGACCCCACAACTCTCAAATCTTTGTGCTGCTCCCATTCTGACTACTTTTTCTTCATCTCCTGTTTTAATAGCTCCACCATTGAACAAAGAACAAAGAAAATTTATAGCACAGGAACAGACCCTTGGCCCTCCAAGCCTGCACCGTCACAACTAAAAGCCCCTACCCTTCTGGGCACCGTATCCCTCTACTCCCATCCTATTCGTGTATTTGTCAAGACGCCCTTTAAAAGTCACTGTAGTATCTGCTTCCACTACCTCCCCCGGCAGTGAGTTCCAAGCACCCACCACCCTCTGTTTAAAAAAAAAAAAAAAAACTGCCTCGTACATCACCTTTAAACCTTGCCCCTTGCACCTTAAACTGATGCTCCCGAGTAACTGACTTTTCCACCCTGGGAGAAAGCTTCTGACTGTCCACTCTGTCCATGCCATTCATAATCTTGTAGACCTCTATCAGGTCGCCCCTCAACCTCTGTCGTTCTAATGAGAACATACCAAGTTTCTCCAACCTCTCCTCATAGCTAATGCCTGCCATACCAGGCAACATCCTGGTAAATCTTTCTGTACCCTCTCCAAAGCCACCATGTCCTTCTGGTAGTGTGGCGACCAGAATTAAACACAATATTCCAACTAAGGTTCAATTTTTAAACTCGGTGCCCCAGCCAATGAAGGCAAGCATGCCGTATGCTTTGTTGACTACCTTCTCCACCTGCGATGCCACTTCCAGTGATCTGTGTACCTGTACACCCAGATCCCTCTGCCTCTCAGTACTCTTAAGGGTTCTGCCACTTACTGTATATTTTCCCTCTGGATTAGACCTTCCAATATGCATTACCTCATTTTTCCAGATTAACCTCCATCTGCCATCTCTCTGCCCAAGTCACCAACTGATCCATATCTTGCATTATCCTCTGACGTTTCTCATAGCTATCCACAGTTCCACTACCTTTGTGTCATCTGCAAACTTACTATTCAGACCAGTTACAATTTCCTCCAAATCATTTATATATATTACAAATAGCAAAGGTCCCAACACTGACCCCTGAGGAATGCCATTAGTCACAGCCCTCCATTCAGAAACTCCCCCTTCCACTGCTACCCTCTGTCTATGACTGAGCCAGTTTTTTATTCATCTTGCAAGCTCACCTCTGACCCCGTGCGACTTTACCTTCTGTATCAGCCTGCCATTAGGGGCCTTGTCAAAGGCCTTACTAAAGTCCATGGAGACAACGTCCACTGCCCTACCCTCATTGATCATCTTTGTCACTTTCTCAAAAAACTCAACCAAGTCAATGAGACACGACCTCCCCTTCACAAAACCAAGTTGCCTCTCACTCATTTGCCACTTATTTCGAAGTAGGAGTAAATCCTGCCTCGAAGAATCCTCTCCAGTAATTTCCCTACCACTGACATTAGGCTCACCAGTCTGTAATTAGCTGGATTATCCCTGCCACCCTTCTTAAACAAAGGAACAACATCGTCTATTCTCCAATCCTCTGGGACCTCCCCTGTAGCCAGTGAGGATACAAAGATTTCTCTCCAGGTCTCAGCAATTTCCTCACTTGCCTCTCTTAGTATTCTGGGGTATATCCCATCAGGCCCTGGGGACTTGTCTACCTTAATGTTTTTCAAGACATCCAATACCACCTCCCTTTTGATCTCAACGCGACCCAAACTATCTACACAGCCTTCCCCAGACTCATCATCCACCAATTCCTTTTCTATGGTGAATACTGTTGCAAAGTATTTATTTAATACTTCAGAGATATTAGAAACTGCAGATGCTGGAGAGTCTGAGATAACAAGGTGTAGAGCTGGATGAACACAGCAGGCCAAGCAGCATCAGAGGAGCAGGAAAGCTGATGTTTTGGGCCTAGACCCTTCTTCTGAAGAATGCCTCCTCTGATGCTGCTTGACCTGCTGTGTTCATCCAGCTCTACACCTTGTTACCTCATTTAATACTTCGTCCATTTCCTCTGGTTCCACACACACATTCCCTTTCCCTGTCCTTGTGTGAGCCAACCCTCTGCCTGGCTACCTTCTTACTCTTTTTTATATATGTATAAAAAGCCTTGGGATTTTCCTTTAATCCTGTTGGCCAATGCCTTTTCATGACACCTCCTGACTCCTTGCTTAAGTTTCTTTTGACTTTCCTTGTATTCCACCCTTGCTTCGTGTGTTCCTAGCCTCCTCGCCTTGATAAATGCTTCCTTTTTCTTTTTTGACTAAGCTCTCAATACCTCGTTATCCCTAAACTTGCCATGCTTATCCTTCATCCTTACAGGAACGTGCCAGTCCTGAGTTCCTATCAACTTACACTTGAAAGCCTCCCACATATCAGATGCTGATTTGCCCTCAAACATCTGCCTCCAATCTACGTTCTTCAGTTCTTGCCTAATATTGTTGTAATTAGCCTTCTCCCAATTTAGTGCCTTTACCTGACAACTACACCTATCTTTATCCATCAGTACCTTAAAGCTTACTGAATTGTGATCACTGTTCTTAAGCTGCTCTGAGACGTCGACCACCTGGCCAGGCTCATTCCCCAATACTAGGCCCAGTACGGCCCCTTTCCTAGTTGGACTATCTGCATAGTGTTTCAAGAACCCCTCCTGGATGCTACTTACAAATTCTGCCCCATCCACACCCCAAGTACTAAGTGAATTCCAGTCGATATATGGGAAGTTAAAATCGCCCACGACAACAAGCCTGTTACTTTTACATCTTGCCAAAATCTGCCTACTTATCTGTTCTTCTATCTCTTGCTGGCTGTTGGGAAGCGTATACTAAACCCCAAACACTGCGTTTGCACCTTTCCTGTTCCTGAGCTGTACCCATATTGCCTCGCTGTATGAGCCATCCAGGGTATCCTCCCGCAGTACAGCTGTATCATAGATCATAGAATCCCTGTAGTGTGGAAACAGTCCCTTCGGCCCAACAAGTCCACACTGACCCAACCCCCTAATCTACACAACCCTGAACACTACCGGCAATTTTGCATGGCCAATCCACCTAGCCTGCACATCTTTGAACTGAGCGGCGAAACCGGAGCACCCGGAGGAAACCCACACAGAAACCGGGAGAATGTGCAAACTCCACAAGACAGTCACCTGCGGGTGGAATTGAACCCGGTCCCCTGGCACTGTGAGGCAGTAGTGCTAACCACCGAGCCACCGTGCTGCCCAATTCTCCTGAACAAGTCACACAAAACCCCTGCCCCTTTTACATCCTCACCCCGCCATCTGCCTGAAACATCTGTATCCTTGAACATTAAGCTGCCATCCTGTCTGTCCCTTGACCAAGTCTCTGTAATAGCAATGACATCATAGTTCCAAGTACTAATCCAAGCTCTAAGTTCATCTGCCTTACTGGTTACACTTATCGCATTGAAACAGATGCACTTCAGTCCTCCAGACCCACTTTGATCAGCAACCACACCCTGCCTGCTCTTCCTCTGAGGCTTACTGGCCCTATTCTCTCGTACCCTTTCAGTCCATTCACCTTTGCTTTGGTTCCCACCTCCCTGCCAAGCTAGTTTAAATCCTCCCAAGTGACACCAGCAAATCTCCCAGCCAGAATATTTGTGCCCCTCCACTTTAGGTGCAACCCGTCCTCCTTGCAGAGGTCCCAACTGCCCTGGAAGAGATCCCACTGGCCCAGATATCTGAAACCCTCCCTCCTACACCATCTGTTTAGCCACGTGTTGAGCTGGACTATCCTCCTATTTCTAGCCTAACTGGCACGTGGCACAGGGAGTAATCCCAAGATTACAACCTTGGAGGTCCTGCTTTTTAACTTTCTACCTAACTCCCTGAACTGCTGCTTCAGGACCTCATCACTCGTCCTACCCATGTTATTAGTACTAATGTGTACCACAACGTCTGGCTGTTCACCCTCTCCCTTCAGATTGCATTCTGCCTGCTCAGAGACATCCTGGCACGAGGGAGGCAACATACCATCCTGGAGTCTCTTTTACATCCACAGAAGCGCCTATCTGTACCCCTAACTATAGAGTCCCCTATAACTACTGCTCTAGTGCCCTTTGTCCTTCCCTTCTTAAGAACAGAGCAGGCCCTGGTGCCACCAGTCTGCCTGCTGCTGCTGTTACCCCCTGATGGGTCATCTCCTTCCTCCTCCCCCCCA